GGGGGGGGGCAGGAGCGAAAGGAGAAAGACTGCAGAGAAAGTCTTCCATCAAGTTCCTCAGCCATCTGATCTGACAGCCTTTCCCGCAGTGGCTATTTTCTTGTAGTAGCTATTCATTTATAGACAGGGGCATGTTGTTAAAATCTTCAGGAAGCCTCATCGTGTTTCAAACTGTTATTTGAAAATCAGTTAGATTTATTAGGTAATTAAATCTTGACATACTAGGAAAAAAGCAGTATAAATGTATGAATACAAAAAGATAGCTTAATTGTTTCTATATTAATATACAGTATATTACAAATGATAATTTATATATTTATATACTAACATACTTACATAGAACAGATATAAAAATACAGTATGCTGTCTATGGTTAATTTCCTTCTTTCTTTGGTTGATGTTCAAGCAGTATTTATTTATTCATAGGAAAGGTATATTTCAATTTTACTGACTTTATACATTATTAGAAGTCATACATTTTACTTAACTTCTCTAACTGTACTAATTGTTACAGTGTAGCAATGACTTAAGACAATAGACAATGGGCTCCCTCAGGCAAAAGTCGAATTTTATTATCTTTGTGTGTCTAGTCATGCTTGGCATTTAGTAGGTGTTCAATAAATGCTCGATTCCCTTATACAATTAGATCATTCATGAGGGGAGCAGTTCTGGGGATTTATTCCCCCCTCCCCACTACACACACACACACACACACACTTAAAGTGATTCCCCTCAAGATTTGAAAGGTTAATAGATTAAGGTTAAGGTTACAGTGAGTTTATAAACCATGAAAAACAGAGAAAAATCAATAAGAAACTTACAGAACTACCAAGCTGGAGAGGTTTCCGAAGGCATAGTCTGGTATGTGGTGTATTTTGTTAAGGGCCAAAGTCATGGCCTGCAACGCTGATAAACTTCTGAAAGCCTGGATGGGAATTTCTGTCAAGGCATTGTCATCCAGCCACAGGTGCCTCAGGGAGTGCAGGCCAGTGAAACACGCGGGGGGCACGTAGCTGATGTGGTTGGCATCCAGGCGCCTGTGGGAGAAAGCGCAAGGATAGGAAAGCGGGCAAGGCCCAGGCAGAAGAAAGCCCTGCAGGAAATCCCTCTCTTGGTAGGCCAATGAACTAAGAGAAAATGGAACTTGGGGGACATTTTCCTTCTCTGGCAGGCTCTCCTTACTGGTGACTGAACCATTGCTTTTTGAGTCTCTCCCAAAGAGCTCTTGTGGTCCAATGGTTCCGTGCTGGATTGCTGACGGAAAGGCCAGGGATTAGAAGCCACCAGCAGCACTGTACGAGAAAAACGTGGCAGTATGACTCTGTAAATCTGACAACTTTGAAACCCCATGGGACACATCTACACCATGTTAGAGGGTCACTGTGATTCAGACTTGACTTGAGGTCACACAACAACAACAGCGGCGTGCTTCTCTTCTAGAGTGACTTGCTTTCAGCATGGAAGCCATGTAGACAGTCGCAGCACAATTCATGGGCTTGATTGCTAGCCAGGCCATGGGGCACATCCACTCACAGGAGCCTGGGAAGAAAGCTCTTGTTATCTACCTCTGGGAAACACCAGCTCTCGACCACCCAGCGGGATGCGGGTCTGGTCTGCCCACAGCACGGGGTTGCTAGGAGTTAGAGCCAATGTGGCTGCAGCTGTCTTGTTGTTGTTGTTTGCTTCTACTCTTAGGGAGAGAAGCCCCTTCCCCTTTTCTTTACTGTGTCAGGTGCTGAGTTGATACCGTGTGGAAAACCTAACGTCTGCTGACGTTCTTGCTCCCCCTAGCCATCTACACTGGGCAGATGTTTGCTTTCCTGTCATTAACAAAGTAATCACACTAAATCAAGAGCTCCCCCAGTCTTCATTTCCTTTGCCACGCACCATTTTGCCTGAGTTATTGAAAGGGGACGAGATGAAAAGGGAGTTTGGTTGGTCAGTTGTTGCAGCTTCAGGGCCAGCAGAGGGAGTACAATGCATTCAGTTTGCCTCAACCCAACACGCTGTCCCCGCAATCCAAAAGCCCTGGCTTCTCATTGAGAAGTGAAAACCCAACCTTTTTCCCTTTCTTTCTTTTAAAAAAAATCATTTTATTCGGGGCTCATACGACTTTATCACAATCCATACACACATCAATTGTGTAAAGCGCATTTATTTGTACATTCATTGCCCTCATCATTCTCAAAACATTTGCTCCCCACTTAAGCCCCTGGCATCACCTCCTCATTTTTCCCCTCCCTCCCTGCTCCCCCCCACATGAACCCTTGATAATTTATAATTATAATTTTGTCATGTCTTACACTGTCCGATGTCTCCCTTCACCCACTTTTCTGTTGTCTGTCTCCCAGGGAGGAGGCTATATGTAGATCCTTGTAATCGGTTCTGCCTTTCCAATATACTGTACCTTCTCTCCATCCTCCCAGTATCGCCACTCACACCACTGGTCCTGAAGGGATCATCTGTTCTGGATTCCCTGTGTTTCCAGTTC